GCATCACATGAATAAAATGCATCATTGTTTTTGAAAGCCTCCATTTTCACAGTCCACACTGCAACATGAAAATGGCATTTATGTAATATATAATATAATATAATATAATATAATATAATATAATATAATATAATATAATATAATATAATATTATATAATATAAAATAATAGAACATAATATTATATAATGTAATGTAATATAATATAATATAATATAATATAATATAATATAATATTAAATAATATAATATAATATAATATAATATAATATAATATAATATAATACAATACAATATAACATAAAATAATATAATATAATATAATATAATATAATATAATATAATATAATATAATATAATATAATATAATATAATAAAAGCCTCCATTTTCACAGTCCACACTGCAACATGAAAATGGCATTTATGTAATATATAATATAATATAATATAATATAATATAATATAATATAATATAATATAATATAATATAATATAATATAAAATAATATAAAATAATAGAACATAATATTATATAATGTAATGTAATATAATATAATATAATATAATATAATATAATATAATATAATATAATACAATATAATATAACATAAAATAATATAATATAATGTAATATAACATAAAATAATATAATATAATATAACATAAAATAATATAATATAATATAACATAACATAATATGATATAATATAATATGATATAATATAACATAATATAACATAAAATAACATAATATAATATAATATAATATAATATAATATAATATAATATAATATAATATAATATAATATAATATAATATAATATAATATAATATAATATATGGGGCTGTTGAATGGTTGCTTCTAATAAACATTCTAAGGTGTGCAGTTATTCTCAGATAAATCCACAGTAAAGTAGTTCCAGGCAGGTTTATACTGTATCTGAGTTACATATCAATACACTGAAGGATTTAAATTATTTCACAACCTTCAACTGTGAAAATCTAATAAAAATACTAGGCATTCAATGATGTGTCCTCAAACAGAAGTTGTTTTAGGAAAAAAACTGATAAATGTCTTAAAGTGCAACATCTGAACAGTGTCTTTAGGTGTGATAATTATAATATAAGCAAATAGCTCACTGTGGTCCATTAAATCATTATCAAATAATGATTTTTCAAATTTTTCAAAGGCTCATCATCAAGCATTCCTTGCATAATATACGGTAAAATAACACAGTAATGTTTAAAAACTAGAATACTTTCATTATTTAAGAATGCATTAAATCAAGAGATTTCCCAGAGATGGGTTGCGGCTGGAAGGGCATCCGCTGCTTAAAAACTTGCTGGATAAGTTGGTGGTTCATTCCGCTGTGGTGACCCCGGATTAATAAAGGGACTAAGCTGACAAGAAAATGAATAAATGAATAAATCAAGGGACAGATCATTTGTTTTTGTTTTTTTTAAAGGAAATGCTGCTATTTTGGTAAAAAAAAAAAAAAAAAAAAAAAGTATTTTCGCAGAAACATCGAACAGTTTAAGTTTAATGGCTTCAAGAACAGCTCTGATATTATTGTGCTGCAGTCCTAATTGCAAATATATCCCATGCAACTTTAGGGTCACATTTTTAAATATCTCTTTAAATAGGTTGCAGCTGTGCTGAGACATAAAGTTATATATTTATTATATAAATATTGAGACATCGACACAATTGTAACATTTGTGGCTCTATACACCAACACAATCAATTTGAAATGCAATTACAAACAGTAGGAATTACAACAGTTTGCGTATGTGTCTCCCTCTTGTTCAGGATCCAAAAGTAAGTGGACAATTGGCTTCTAAGCTGTTCCATGGCCAGGTGTGTGTTATTCCCTCATTATCCCAATTATAATGAGCAGATAAAAGGTCCAGAGTTCATTTCGAGTGTGCTATTTGCATTTGGAATCTGTTACTGTCAGCTCTCAAGATGAGATCCAAAGAGCTGTCACTATAAGTCAAACAAGCCAACATTAGGCTGAAAAAAACAAAACAAAGTGAAGCATGGTGGTGGTAGTGTCATGGCGTGGGTATGTATGGCTGCCAATGAAACTGGTTCTTCTGTTTTTATTAATGATGTGACTGCTGAAAAAAGCAGCAGGATAAATTCTGATTCATGTTAAGTCAAATGCTTCAGAACTCATTGGACGGCGCTTTATAAGTATTATTCTGTCCCCTTACTTTTGGTCCTTTAACAAGAGGGAGGCACATACAGTATGCAAACTGTTGTAATTCTTACACCGTTAACCTGATCTGGATGTAAATACCCTCAAATTAAAGCTGACAGTCTGCAGTTAAAGCACACATGTTAATTTAATTTTAAACCCATTGTGTTGGTGTATATAGTCAAAAATGTTAGAATTCTGTCAATGTCCCAATATTTATGGACCTAACTGTATGTCATTATATAGATTAGCATAGATTTACTCTGAAGATTTTTGGCATAAAAGCCAAACTTATCCCCTTGATCCAAACAACATGTATGCAGGTTAAGACCAGGGTCACATATTCAACTATATATTTTAAATAGGTTTTTAAATAGATTGCCGCTGAGACATGACAAATAGTATAGCTTTATTGTATAATCGTTCAATAGGGGTGTAACGATACACTCAGCTCACGATACGATGTGTACCACGTTATAATGTTCACGATTCGATATGTATCACGATATTTGGAATAAAAATTTAAAATTTAACTGAAATGCAAATTTTACCAAGTAAACTATTTTTTATGTATTTCTTTTGTTTCAACTTGTTAAACTGAACCTTCTTTTAGAAAATATATTAAACAGGCCTGTCTCTGGAAAATAAAACAATTTAAAAACTTCTTAAAAAATATTATTGAAATGACAGAGACAAAATTAAGGAACAATTTAAGTAAAGGTGCAAAAAAATAAGCTTTTTTTCTCTTCAATTGAATTTAACAGTAAGAGCTTAAGGCTTTGCTTGGTCACTTGCGTTTTTGTGTGTGCAAAAAAAAATCCACATTTCCAGGTAATCAGCAGTTCTATAAGATAATCATGAACTTATGTGCATCTGTCTGAGAGGTTTTTATGGATGGCTGTCTTCATGTTGGGCATGATGAGTGACAGGGTGGCCGTCTTTTCATTACACAGGACAGTCGTGGCTCTTTTCAGCAGTTTAGGCAGGTTTACTATTTCTTCGGCGTCGCTGATGTCGGCGCTATCAAGTGTATCATGTTGACGTGCATTTTTGTGTACCTCTGTACTCAAAAGGGTTAATGCTCGTCGTAATCATAACTCTAAAATGCGATATGATTGTTTAAATAATGTGTACGTTTTCGGTTTCATTTCCACTGCTAAGTGCTGTTCACACACGCGGCTCCTGAACGATCACTCTGTTCCACAAACTGAATGTTGTTTACTACTTTATTAGTCACAACCTGCAGGTTCTGTTCACTGAAACAGACGCGTTTTAGCATTTAAACCTTTGTTCTGACTATCCATAAATATATTTCATATTTAATTAATTTCATTTAGAGATATCTCTAATTATATTTTGACTAGTCGAATTATAATTATGACTAGTCAAAATATAATTAGAGATATCTCTAAATATATTTATGGATAGTCAGATCAAAGGTTTAAATGCTAAAACGGCTTGCCATACGCGCGCGTCTATCATAGTCCGCCCTCTGTAGTAACAGCTCACGTCATGTGTGATTTTGCGGCCGCCAATACATCATTATATGAAGACAGAATGATATTTTAGGGTGAATTGTACCTTATAAATACAGTATGTGACTCTTTCAACACCATTAGGAGGTATCCATGTCGCTGTGCAAAGTATGTAAATCACTGTGAAGACTTTAAAACTTAGGATGTTTGACCCAGTATGCGTGTCAAAAAGCGGACGAGTCTAAAGCAATGACTGTACAACCGAAATGTTGCCAGACGTCTGATTTTGAGAGGATGGGCCATCCTCTATTTCAACTCCACTCATCTTGGTCTGCTAACATTACTGCTGCTGCAATCTTAACTCACGTGCGACAGCAGGTGGAACGTAGCTCACGTGCAAACAGCTCAACTAATAAGAGAAAACGGACGTCATATCGTAATCAAATCGTCATAACGCCACGATGCATATCGAGATATTTTTGCATCGCAATAAATCGTACAACGATAAATCGTTACATCCCTATTGTTCAATGTTTGTCAACCAATTAGAATCAAGCATTCAACAGCTATATAGTATTGGGTCATTAAATCTGGGGCTGTTCATGTCACATCTTATGTATGCTGAAATGTATTTTTTCAAATGGAGATGCTTGGCATGTCCACACAAATAAGGAGTTAGATGCACATGCGGCACAACATGCATGCTTTTTCCAGGCAAGTCTACAGCTCAGAGAATTTTAAGTATCCCAAATTTTCAGAATGCCTCAAGTGCGCCACATGTCATGTGACAAGAACCCACCAATCAGCTTTATACAATCTTTGGATCTTACACTTTTAAGTAATAATGGTTGACTAATTACCTCCAAGAAACTGAAAGTTCACAAACACTTTTTAAATTTGACTCTATAAATAAATCTTGTATCAGAGCTAAAGCAAGGGTTTGTCAGTGGCAGATCTTCCAAGAGGGCAGCTAATTGTTCCGTAGAAAAATAACAGCATCATAGAAGCGCAAAAATACAGTTAGTGGTGACGTATTTAGACTCTAATTGTGAACATCCCCTTAAACACTATAGTGACCCAGAATGTCCCATTTTAACCCATTTTAAATGAACTGAAAAATTAAAGGTGTCTGAATGTTTGACTGTAGTTTATGACCGTGTTCCAGTTGGCTAAAGACCCAAATATGTAATATTGATTGCCAAAACATTCATGCATATAAGAGCTAATAGCATGTTTATGAGGGAGCATATTTAGCTCACCTCAGCACATCTGAATAGGCACACTTTAACAGTTTTTTTTTTTTATTTATTTAATTTTTTACTAACCTTCTCCTGGTACTGTCTGCGTGATGAGTCCAGTGACTGAATGAGGGCGGTGGCGTGGCCTACAAACATGGCATAGCAGGTTGCGCCCACGATCATGCTGAGGATGGTCAACCACACATCCGTCATGCCCACAGGAGGGTACATGCCATACCCGATACACAGCATGTGACTCATGGCCTTAAACAGGGCATAAGAGTACTGCTGACCCCATGTGTCGTTCTGGGAGGAGAGAGACAAAAGAACCCAAATTAAAGCATATAAGTTTGAGCGTAAAAGATGGTTATTGTGATAAAGGGCAAAAGAAAGACGAGAGACAAAACGTATTGCTCATATAGTAAGAAAACCTATTTGTAACCATTGACCCCAAAACCACTCATAAGTATCAGTTTTCTGAAATTGAGATGTATACATCAACCGAAACCTCAAGAAGTAAGCTTTCCACTGATGTTTGTTTAAATAGGATATTATTTATTTGAGATACGACCTGGAAATCTGAGGATTCAAATGAATCAACATACCTGTACCTGTATCACCTATAAAGTTTTCTAAATTAAGTTCTAATCAAACAGAGTTTTTATATACAGTTGAAGTCAGAATTATTAGCCCCCCTTTCAATTTTTTTCTTTTTTTTTTAATATTTCCCAAAATATGTTTAACAGAGCTAGGAAATTTTCACAGTATGTCTGATAGTATTTTTTCTTCTGGTGAAATTCTTATTTGTTTTATTTCGGCTAGAATAAAAGCAGTTTTTAATTTTTTAAACACCATTTTAAGAACAATATTATTAGCTCCTTTAAGCTATTTTTTTTCGACAGTCTACTGAACAAACCATCGTTATACAATAACTTGCCTAATTAACCTGACCTGCCTAGTTAACCTAATTAACCTAGTTAAGCCTTTAAATGTCACTTTAAGCTGTATAGAAGTGTCTTGAAAAATATTTAGTAAAATATTATTTACTGTCATCATGGCAAAGATAAAATAAATAAATAAATAAATAAGATAAATCAGTTATTAGAAATGAGTTATTAAAACTATTATGTTTAGAAATGTGTTGAAAAAAAAATCTCCTCTCCATTAAACAGAAATTGGGGGAAAAATAAACAGGGGGGCTTATAATTCTGACTTCAACTGTGTGTATTTATATGTAAACTAAAAAAATTATATACAGTTGAAGTCAGAATTATTAGCCCCCCTCAATTATTAGCGCCCCTGTTTATTTTTTCCCCCGATTTCTGTTTAATGTAGGGAAGATTGTTTCAGCACATTTCTAAGCAAAATAGTTTTAAAAACTTATTTTTAATAAATGATTTATTTTATCTTTGCCATGATGACACTTCTATACAGCTTAAAGTGACATTTAAAGGCTTAACTATAGGTTAATTAGGTCAACTAGGCAGGTTAGGGTAATTAGGCAAGTTATTGTATAACGATGGTTTGTTCTGTAGACTATCAGGTAAAAATGTCAACCCAAGCTCATTCTGGAAACGTAGCCCCGCAGATGTTTCTGGAGGCCGCGATTTACATGGCCGGAGGTACGTAAAGGCCGTGTTTAGTTTTTTTCGAGCGAACGCTGCGGGGCGGTGTGGCGCCGCTCCGCCCCTCCTCTTGCTTTTTTTTTTTTTTTCTGGACGGCTTTTGCGAACCGTCGCTCGGGTTTAGGGAAGGAGGAGGAGGAGTAGGAAGAGAAGGAAGGCCGAGTCGGCCGATCCGGCGGCTTTTCGCGCTCGAACGGCGCACGCTCCCGAGAGGCGCCCGAGACGCGAAAAAGAGCGCACACCGGCCTCTCGCGGATCCGCGAAAACAAAAAACGTTTGAATACGTACCTCCCGGGTCGTAAATCGCGGTCCGCAGAAACGTCCGCGGGGCTACGTTTCCACAATGAGCCCGGGTTGAAAAATGTAGCTTTAAGGGGCTAATAATTTTGCCCCAGAAATGTTTTTTTTTAATTAATAACTGCTTTTATTCTAGCCGAAATAAAACAAATAAGACTTTATCCAGAAGAAAAAATATTATCAGACATACTGTGAAAATTCCATTGCTCTGTTAAAAATCATTTTGGAAATATAAAAAAAAAAAAAAAAGCAAAACAAAAGAGGGCTAAAAATTCTGACTTCAACTATCTATATATATATATATATATATAGTTTTTTAATTAATAATAAAATTATTATTCTAAATGAATAACAGAAATCAATCCTAAATAACTGGAAAACAATATACAATGTAAGGACACGACTGGAGCGATAAAAGATTATTTAGGAAATCTTTTGCAAATTTGCATGAACATTCAATTGTTCAGAATAAATAATATATATTACAAAAAGGTGTTATATAAAATTATCTGTTGTCTTACTTAAAACATGGTGGAGAATTAGGTTTATTAAATTTTACCTCCCTGACTCATCATCCCTCCTTTCTGCTTCATATGAAAAAATCTATCAAGAGCCATGATGTCAAAATAGGATCATCATCATTATTTAAGCTTTAGGTTAACACCTCTAGGCTGCTATAGCGGTTTCACAACGCATGAGCGGCATGTACTTTTTCAGCGTGCATATCAACAACCGGGACTTACAGCAGGAGAAGAGCATTGCAGGAGCGGTGCATGGGGTGCGCGAATATGATTTCGGCATGCAGGTGTCAGTTTGCTTTTTCATTAAACTACAGTGCTTTCATCACTGTTGGCTCGGTTGCACATAGAGAATAACGTCTTTATTCTAGGATTACCAATAGTAATTAATACACTTGCTTAAAAAAGTAAATCGTATCTCATAGCATTTTCTGGGGCACTGGAGATTTTTACTGGAGTACGTGCCCAGTAAATGGGGTCTAGCAACGCCCCTGAGTGGAACCCTAATGGGGCATATATCTTCAACCATATTCTATTGTAAGGTTGTACTTTTTTGAGACCTTCAATTCAATTCATGTTCGTTTCTATAGTGCTTTAAAAATGTAGAGTGTGTCAAAGCCGCTTAAGATAGAAGTTTTCCTAAAATACCATAAAATATATTTTAAAATGTTTTGATTTATAAAAGTTTAAACATATATATTGCAAATTTCAAAAATATATTTTACTGAGCCTCACAGTCCCAAAATACATTTAGTATGTATATTTCAGGCCAGTAGCCAGCAGGGGTTCGGGACCCACTCCCTTCTGACAAAGTTCAGAATTGGGCCCCTATATAAGCTCATTTCTCCCATCTTTGACAGTATGTCATCAGTGAAAACAACCAATAGAAGAAGGTTTTTATTATTTAAATGGACAAATTCTGACCAAGTTAATGAGTTGGCCAGTTTGTTATTTGCCTATAGGTTACAGTTTTGAATTTAAAACATGTTATAACAGATTCCCAACTTTTGTTGTTGTTGTTTGTTTATTTTATAATGGATAATAATAAATTAGCATTTAAAAAAATACTTTTTCTCATATTTCGAAAATACTAATCTCATTACATTATATATAAAACTGCAATGACTTACAGTTTAAATGCACATTTGTAAATACACATAAATGTTTGTAAACAAAAAATAGTATGATAAGCACTTTGACAAAAATGTAGGAAGTATTTTTGTTGCATCAAAAAGTGCAGTAATTAAACCATCTGACAAGCCAATCCAGCACAAAATAGTGCTTAAAATGTCACTAAAATACAGTATTTAAACCTCAAAGTTTAAAGGGAACATCTGCAAAAAGGTCTACTTTTTGGGGAAAAAGAACCAGCCCTTTAATAGGCTGCCTACTGGCCTGTATTTAAAATATATATTTAAGCCATAAAAAAACAAAACAGGTGTAGACCAATAGTAGGGAGAGAAGACGAAATAGTGTGGAGAATGACAGAAAGTGAGAGAAGGAGTGTGTGAGTGTTAGACTGGAAAAAGTGACAGTGTTTCTATATTTCTGACAGTTGTAAAATAGAGAGAGAAATATCACATCCTTTAGCAGAAGGGTCATTGCGGACACTGCAGGCGATTTTGTGATATCAGAAGATGGAGGAAAGCAGAAGGTACTGTTTTACAAATGCAAATGAGGTGTAGTCACAGACTGTATTCATCTTTTGGTAAAATGAGTCGCTAAGGTTTGGCACTTTTGGGTCAAATACTTATCATGCAGGTCCAGGAAATGATGCAGATGGCCTTATTTCAGTCCAAAATATTACCTTTAAAAAAGTTGTCAGTTTAATATGGATGTTTTTGCCTCAGATAAATATGATTTGATATATTTCAAATGCAACATTCTTTAATTCATATTTTACAATGTGGAAAACTGTAAAAGAAAGTTTGCTCTCTCTATCTTTTATAATAGCAGCCTAAATAGCTCCTGTCGCTTTAAGACTACATGCACTAATAAAGGCTGCAGAACTTTCACTATACTGTAATTATCTGTGTTCATGCAAAACAACAAGCTACAAATTATTGTGAGGGATAAGTGGAGTTTTTTTTATTTATTTTTTGCTTCCCCCTTGGTCACAACGATGGCCAAGTAAAAATTACAATTACAGCATTTTTTTTCCTAAGAGTGAGAAACAAACCTTCCATCCAAGCTTTTTTTTTTTTTTTTTAAGTGTTTTTTTTTTGTATAAAGAGCTGCTCTATTTCATTTTAATGTTTTTATTTTTTAGAATAACCTTTTTTTCTCCGTAAGAAAAAATATTATCAGACATACTGTGAAAATTTCCTTCATCTGCTAAACATCATTTGCGAAATTTTACAAAAGAAAAAAATCTAAGGGGGGCTAATAATTCTGACTTCATCTATATATATATATATATATATATATATATATATTAAAAAATTTTAAAAAATATTTTAAAAATTAACTAATTAATCGTACCTTTTTAAAAAAATTTATAGCGATTAATCGCATTTAAAATACTGAAACTTGGAATTTTGTCTATTCAAATGTAAAATTAATGTAAACGCAAGACAAAAACTATTTAAATTCAAAATATAATTGTTATTAGAATTTTTGTTTAACTTGTAACACAGATTTCTTCATGTAAACAACATACCCACAATAAACCATCAAGATCCTGGCTTGACAGCCATATTTATTACAGAAATTAAAACACAGGCATGTTAATGACATTTAAATTTCAAAACAATCAATGACAATAAAAAAACATTGATTTCCATGTTGGATTCTTAGTGGACTGCAAAAAAATGCCAAAATAGAGGAATTGCAGATATGGAAAATGAAAAATTATAATAATAAACTATTAAATACAAACAGTTGCACTCATTGTAAAGTTTTTGAGAACATTAATTATAAGAACGGGAACATTAATTATAAAGTAGAAACAATTTTGCCTAATCCTCCTTTACATTCATCCAGTTGCTAAGACTAGGAGTATCCCGCAAATGCACAGAGACTCCCGGATGCCCGCAAATGAATGATAATCTCTCGCAAACCGGTCGTTAAATACATTGCACACCCCTCTCCATCGCATCCCTCCTAGACTTCAGGTATGTCGCAAGCAACTCACTCCCACCGTCCTTCAGGTACGTCTCGCGCACACACGCCCCTACTCAGATACGTCTCTCACTCCACCCCTGAGACCCCTTAACGGTCCTGACACAGACACACACACACACACACACAACGCGCTGGAGTGACTCCCTTCAGATTCAACACGCATGATCGCGTTCATCAAATTTGCTTAAACTAAGCGTCCTAAAGTATTACTGTATTTCACAAGGATTCTGACACAACAACGCAAAGCATACGCTTTCGTTGTGTTTAATGAGGAAACACGCTGTCTTTGACAGCTCGCGACTTCACCAGACGTTCTGAGTACATTTACATAAAACACCAATACTCCGATTTTAATATGATTAAGATTATACTCTTATTAAAATTCTACCGTGTAGCCTAAGCAGTGATTTTATTACCTTAAAGGAACACCCAGTCACAAAATGCGGAGGATTTTCTTTCTGTTCGCCATGCGGTATCAACTTACAACAGAAAGTTAAAAATGAAACACCCGAAATTGCATGAAACTCTGGATAACCTGTGATGCAACTAAATGTTTTATACTGAAACTTTCCTTCAAAAAGTGCTTCCCTGGTCTTATCCACATTTCTTGCATGTTAAACAAACGTCCACCAAAACAGGAAGTAAAAAAAAAACCTGCAACTGCGTTAATTGCGTTAATTTTTTTTTAACGCGTTAATTATTTAAAACTAATCGCATGCGTTAACGCACTAATTTTGACAGCGCTAATATATATATATATATATATATATATATATACACACACACACACACACACACACACACACACACACACACACATATATACATATCACGAGTATTAGCTGGAGTAAACGTAGAAGCCACTCTAGCTATATGTGCACTCTTCCTGCCATTCACCCAGACTACACATCCCATTATTATTTGCAAACATTCAGACTCTGATTACCTCTCACAGGTGATATTTATCTGGACACTGACACACACAGCTGCAGATCAATAACACTATATAAGCAGCACATTCTTACTTAACAATTGCTCCATCATGTGTCTCCACAGAGTGCAGATTTTTCTGTTCTTGTTTTTAGACTGTCTTCTGGATTAATGTTTGTTTCCCACCTGCCTTGACCTTTGCCTGCTCTATTGGATTATGCTTTGGATTACCTCTGTTGTTGCTGTTTACTCCTGTTGACCCTTGCCTACATGAACATCCTTATCCTCAGTAAAGCTGCATTTGGAACTCCATCTCCATTGTTGCATTAATCATGATAAAATGATTGTTATAATTGTTTGTTGTGTTGTTATAACTGATCTGTGCACTTTATTATTTTGTCAAAATAAATTTGCCCACAGAATTTTTTTAATCAAATTTTATAACCTTCCCTCCCCCTAGAAACAACATTTCTTCATGTCTGGGGCACATGGAATGTCTTTCAGGAGGGGCTATCAAATTGTCTTGTTTCTGTTCTGCCTTTATTTATTCCTCAATCTTCTTTCATTTTGTTAGCAACACCCATATGCCAACAATCCAATTGGTTCCCAAAGGACAAAATCATGCACCACCGTTCATTTTTTATTTTAATTTTTTTATTTTAGGACCGTTTCAAGTGGATGTACGTCATGATCGCAGAAAAAATAGACGATCTCCACTTTCATTTCATGGTAATTTTAAAACTTGGTATTAATCAAATAATTCAGTAATTCTGTCAATATTTACTCATCTTCTGCTTGTCCCAAACCTTGAGTTTTGAAACTAAAAAAAGAAGATATTTTGAATAATGTTGGAAAAAAAACAGTAATTGACTTACTTTGTATTTTTGTTTTTACTATGGTACAGAACAGAACTACTTGAATTTTCTTGCCTAGAGTTGTTGTGCTGTTTCTAGTCGAAATATCTAAAAATCCTTAAATCAAGAAGCATTTTCTAGACAAGAAGAAAATATTGTGCTGTTTTTGGAAATAATAAGTCAAAATTAGGTTAAGTTTTTCATGAAAAGGGGGAAATAATCTTCCAATAGGGTAAACAAAATAAACTTGATTTTGGTTTATACTAAGATTATTTCTCTTCTTCCCCACTAGAGAATTATTTAGCTATAAATAAGGAAAAAAAATCACCAAATTTTTATTTATTTCTGAAAACAAAACTATACTTTTTCTTGTCTAGAATTTTTGGAAGGATTTTAGTGAGTTTTTCGAGAATTAGATTATAAACAAGATCAAATCTCTAAATCAGAAAAGCATTTTTTTGCAGTGTGTGAGTAAATGATGAGGACATTTTCATGTTGAGGTGAAATGTCCATTTAATACATCACGACAAGCTCTGCCAATGAAAAACAAAAGTAAAAACACATGGACTGGCTTGTAAAAACTTACCACCATTTTGTTTTTGGCCACCCAGCAGTCTGAAGGGAAATCCTGCAACATGGGCACCAGGAACTGCAAACACCCGTCCCAGTGGCACAGCAACAACATCATCCCAATGAGATTTACAATGCGCACCATGGCACTAGCCAGGTCATAGGTCATGTGAAAAATCTAGAGGAAAAAAAAAAGAAGAAAAAGAGGTCAGAGATGCACCAACCATGACAGCAGAACTAGAATATGCCGCATTGGGTCACAATTAAGATTTAATCCTCACTCAGTTCTAGGCCACATTGTCCTTAAGCTGGTTTTTAGCAGTGAAACGTTTGGCATGTATTACATAAGGTACTGTATCTCTTCTGCTAATGTCACTAATAGTTCCTAAGAGATCAGTGGGAGGCCGAAAGAGAGGCTGATGTTTCCCACAATCCATAATAGCAACGATTCGCCAACTCCCCCATTGGACAAAAAGACGACATTCCCAAATAGGCGTAATTAAAGCGTGTAATCCAATAGATTTCCGTTAGCATGCCAGGTTGAGGGCCGATTGGCTTGAGTGATCGAAGCAATTAAAGGGTCATGGTGCACGCTTTTAACTTTGTCGTGGACAAACAATGGTTAGGTTGCTGCCTGCAATTGTGGATAATTGGCGCTTGGTTTTGGAATTGGAAGTAGCAATTCTTTAGTAGAGCTGAAATTAAATCTATGCGACGGAGAAACATCGCTGAATTTCCAGTGTGAAGTTAGTTGGGATTTCTGTCTGTTCTTGCTGAGTGTGATTTGCAACTGGATGAAAACCCTTGTTGGCCCTAAAACAATATTAGATTTGCTGATCTGTTTCAAGGGCTGTTATCTCTTACCAATCATTTAACTGCAGGGTGCCAATTATGCATTGACTAACAACGGTGTCTGCATTTTTAGTAGTTTGTGTAATACATATGCGTGCCTCATTGACTCTAAATATATTTAATTAAATTTCGTCTCATTTATTACTCAGATGTATTGAAGTTTTCGGTGTTTTTAGGGATAATGATTCGATTTTGTGTTACACTAATCTGTGATGGACTATTTCAAAAGACATACGTTGCCCAAATTAGATCTTCATGTCAAAACGACATCAAAAACACTTGTCTAACACATGTCAAAACCTGTCCATTTGACATCCACATGTTGATGCACTTTTGACCACCAAAACAACAACACTAAAAGTATTATGCTGTCATGAACACTCTCAGGGTTTAATATGGTTATAAATATGTATAGTGTTATATATGGCAGTGTTGGGCAAGCTACTTGAAAAATGTAGTGAGCTAAGCTAGCTACTCTAATTAAAATTCAGCTTAACTACCCTAAAAGCCACCTTCTGGGAAATGTAGCAAACTAAGCTAAAAGCTACTTGGCAAAAGTAGCTTATCTACATCAAAGCTATTTTTGCAGTTTTTCATTTTTAACTCGAAGCAACTTAAATCTAAGTCAATCATATCTTAGTGATCAATAAAACTGTCAATGAAACATATGAGATAATTGTTCAGTTCAAATATTTACTGCAAATAATACGCTGTACTAAACAGAAACAAACTAAAGTGTATATTAATCCAATAAAACCAGGCACATTTAAAATGCACTAGTAACCTATGGTAAAGGGAAGTATTTAGGAATAAGCATTGAGTATATAATATTACAACTCTTCTTTATTAATGAATTACTTAAAGAGTATTATTAGTAACTATCAAGACTATCAAGAACAGTAATTACCATAGTATACTTTAGCCTTTACTACTCCTCCCTCAGTCATCTTTCCATCAAGCAAGTTTCTTGTATTAGCTTACTTGATTGGCGACGTCACCAATCAGGGGTGCGTTTCCCAAACAACGATGTAAATTGTGGCTGAACTATCATAGTATGATGCATTATTTGGGAAAAGAATGATGTAGTGTTGATTGTTCCCCAAAATTTGTAGTTTCTCTGTTGCAGATCCATCGTTTGAACCATGCTAGTTATAACATAAAACATCCATAATGATGCCCTAAATGGGGTGGTAACAACTATTTTAGAGAGGAAACACATATTTTGTTTGTGCAAATTATATTGTTTTACACAAACACGCATTAAAAAAAATCCAATATTATTTTTGGTAAAAACATGCAATTATTCTCCATATTAATTTGAAATATATGTAAATGGCACATTTAGGGCCTATTATTCCTTTAGAAATATTACTGAGAATATTACATATTTTATTCTAATACATAAAATCACTTACTAAAGCTAACACATATTCTAATATCATATATAAATCGTATAAATAAACAAATAATTAAATAAATAATTAGGTTATTAATTAATAAATGAAAGTTAATATTTATTATTTATTAGGAATTGAAAAACATTTCCTAATCAATATTTCCTAATAATATTTATTAGGAAATGAAAATTGTTTGAAAAACTTAAACAATTATATTAATAACAACATTAATGATTATTATTATTATTAGTAGTATTTTTATTAAGTAGAATATTGTTTATTTAATTTTTAGTTTTTGAAAAGTCTACTTTTACAATTTGACAGATGTAAACAGTAATGCAATAACGTATGCTATGTGTTTTGTTCTCACAAGCTTTGGAGACATAAAGTAAATTCTGCTTTTAAATAATAGGCCACCTATAGCTTTCGTCATGAGCCACGGCTGTGTTCCAAATGACATCAATGTTTTGAAAGTGCAACTGTAAAAATACTTTGAAAGCAAATTACACCAAAGAGAGATGACTTAAATGCTTTTTAAAAATAATTCCAAGTTTACATTTTAGAATGTTCTAAATGAATAGGGCATAGGGTGGATAACTAGGAATAGAACACAGCCACAAACTATGTTTCTAACTACAGCTCTAGAGGTGTACCTGCAAGTGTACAAGTTTGCGACTTAGTTCGCAAATGTTCGCTGAAACGATGGATTTGGAAAATGCCAAATCAACAAACTATGTTTGTAACGACACAACTTGTGACCTTAGTTGGCTAACAATAGTTTTGAAAATGCACCCCAGAGTGAGAGGTGGCAGTAACACACCAAAAACGTTTGTTGTCGACCACCGTTAAATAGGAAGAAAAAGAAAAAATCATCATTCAATCGTCGGCTAGACACCAGCCTTAGAGCTTTGTGAATGTCGGTGTCGTCACATATTGATCCGCGGTCGGTAAATGTAGCTTGTGTGGACGCTACTGCTCTACTTGACTAAAAAACTTGCTTTCATACTGAAAAGCTATTTGGTTTAAAAAGTAGTGATGTTATCGCCACACTACTGAGAAATGTAACTTTGACTCATTTTTTTTACATATAAAATCTCATAAAACATTTGATCAGATTTACATAATTATTTATTATTATTCTAGTCCCAATATATATATATATATATGTAAGGGTATAAGCTGAAAAGAAAATGAACGAATGAATGAATGTTCTTATCACTTTGTAACTGTATGTACTTGTATTCCAGTCTCTTGAAGAATACTTCATGAATTAAATATGTTTATTTCTTCTTTTCAATGCTAAGCCCCTCTCACTGGCAGAGCTGTGATAAAAACACAAAACGCTATTCGCTGTTTTTAAAAAAGGGGTGGGGCTACACTATGTCCCACCCTCTCTTTGTGTTTCCATTGAGATTACGGCAAACAATAAATAAAAAAGTTCAAAGCACTTCATGGTACCTTTAAATGTAAATCTCTACTCTAAATAATGCTGGGTTTTTAGTAACCAATGTCAGGTCAAACCCAACATTGGATTAATTTTAATTCAATTTTGACCATAGATATATACATTAGATGTCGCCTAGCCTATTTTTGTCTATTGGACGGAATGCGTCAATAGCGCCGCCATCTTGCTACAGGGTAGCGCTCCTTTGAAATGAATGCGGGACCAGGGTACAGTGGAGGACTGTGGCCATCCAAAGCCAGAGATATACACATATACACATATATCTATGATCGGGAATTTTCCTGGCTGTTAGTATGTGATTTTTTTTTTTTCTAATTACGAAAATTATAATTTTACATCACTTTTCTACATTGATGGATCAGTGACCGCACGGGCATTCCTGACAAAAAGCTTGTGTTTGTGTGTACAGAAATGTACTATTCACCCTCCCTGTTAAATTTGATCTAATCCGTGTCCTGAAACACACCTCCTCTCCTGCTTTCACTTCTCATACTGACGGAGGGAGCGATTCGTTTGTGAATGAATCCCTCGAACGACTCTTTCACTAACGTTATCCGACAATAATACAAGTTTCTGGAAGCGCAGTATCTCGTTGTCATATTTCTTTTGCATTGTTTGCTGATTTTATTCAACAAAACTAGCTTAAGCCGAGTGTTTAGTGCGAGTTGGAGCTGCTTTGCCATATGATGAATGCAGTAAGTGACTGTTATCATCAATAACGTTACCTGTTTAGCACAAAAGTTCAGAACATACAAAAACAGAAAAAAACTTAATCTTACCTATGAAATGTTCAGCCTTTGTGCTTTGTTTTGTTTGTTAGCTCGTTACTACACCTGTAGACAGCACTAAAGTCCCGTATCTTCACGTAATAACACTGTCTTGACTAGTGCGGTTGAATGACATTTGTCCTGGGAGCACTGTACCAATGTGGCGGCGCTATTGACGTATGCTCAGGGTCCCTATGCGATATCTAGTGTATATATCTATGAATTTTGACTATACCTTAAATCCCAATAGTTGGATGTGTCCATATTTAACCCAACATTGGGTAACGACAACCCAGCATTTTTTTAGATCTCCAAATTGTCACTTTTTATCAATTTGATGCACACTTAATTAATTGCCTTAAAAATTGCATCAAATCTGCAACTTTAAAGCAACAAGAAGTAAACAATTGCATAACATTTATTTCAAGTTGAAATTTCAAGTACCTTTTTGTGGTTTTTATTACGTTGTTGTTGTGTTCAGGGAATGAAAAATGTTTGGCAGAAATATTACTTCAGGACCACCAAAAGAACTTTGGCCATCTCCATTATTAATACGGGAATATCAAAGAAGGTTTATATAACAGCTATGTTTCTTTTCAACACCTACAATCCACAATACGAGGTCAAAAATCTTGCTTCCCTCCCACTTTGTTTTGAATCTCATACCTGCCACTTTTATTCCACATAATATAGAGTA